ATATTGATTTTTGTTTGTGATTAAATTTAAATTGAATAAACTCTATTTATACTTTTTTTTTTTTTTTTTTTTTTTTAAAAAATTAAAATAATTTAATTTTTTTAAAAAGAAAAAAAGATAAATTTAAAAGTGGTTTAACTTTTAATTAATTAAATTAGGATTCAATATTTAGAGCCTATATAGTGATAATATAAGGGTGCCTATATATTTTTATCTTTCTATTTTATTATTTACAAAAAAAAATAATACCCCATGTTTGATTTCATTCATACAAATCTTATAATAAAGTGTGTAATGGGGTTAAAATGTATAATATAAAAAAAAGTGTTTTTTTTTTGTAGGGGGAATATTTTTTTTTATAATACTTTTTTTAAGGGTGTTATATATATAGTTCATATCCTAGAATTTATAAATTTAAAAAGTTAACCTATTTAGGTCATAATTATTTTTTTAACAATAGATGTACAAAAGTAATTAAAAGAATTTTTTTTAAAAAAAATTTGAATAATTATTATAAAATTTTTTTATTTTTTAAAAAAATATTAAAAAAAAACACTTATATAATCAAATGTTTAAATTAATTTAAATAGATCAATCGATTAACTGCAAATAAAAAAAACAATTAATTAAAGCTTTTTTTTTATCAACTTTTTTTAATTTCTAAGTTTTATAGATTTATCTACTAGAAATGGAAAAATATGTTTTTTAATAATAAATTTATTTTTAATTATTATTATTTTTTTTAATATTAATTTTAAAACTATAAATTAAACTTTATTATTATTTTTTTAATCATTCAAAATAAACAAAACAAAACATCAAAATGACAATCTTATGTAAATATTTTATATATAATATAATATTTAAAACATACTAATTAAAATTTAAATATTTTTATAGCTGCTTTAACTTCATTATCTCCAATGAGCACCAGCTCAAAATCAAGCATCAGCTCAAAGAGTGCTTCATTATCAATGTCTTCAAATAAAGTTGCATGCGGTGGTTGTGGCGGTAGTGGTCCAATCTTTATTCCAGCAGCTGCCAATATTGATGTTAATGTCAATGTTGATATCAATTTAACTGCCGTCACCAGTATTGTTGGTGGAATCGTCGGTGGATTATTAGGTGGTTCATGTGGTTGCAATTAAACACTATATTAATATAGTTGTTAAATTTAATGTAATTTAATGTAATAATAAAAAATTATAATTATAATTATTTAAAATATATATATATTGGTTTGACCATAATATACATAAATAAATTTATTTATTATTTATTAGTTTATAAAGATTAAATAAAGATAATTGAGAGTTATCTTTTTGTTGTTGATTATTTAGTTGTTTTAAAGTTAAAATGGATGAAAAAACAATAGATTTAACCTTGGTATCCATGCAAGAGCATTTGTTTTGAAGTATTGTTGAAAGCTTATTAATGATATCTTGGCTGTCTAGTTGGGTGCTATTATTAAATAAAACTTTAAAATAGAATGGTAATAGTTCTAAATATCTAAAGTTATAAATAATGTTTAAAGAATCTTTTTCTTCTTGAGTTGTATTAATATCAACCTATAGTATATAAAACAAAATAAAATTAATATTAAATTTTTTTTTTTTTTTTAGATATATGTATATATTTACGTTATTATATAAATTAAAGAATGAATTAAATTCGAAAATATTTAAATTAATTTGATTTGAAATTAATTGTGATAATAATTCTAAACCTATAATATGTTGTTTTGATGTAAGTGATATAGAGTCGAAAATATCATTTAAGATGACATCGAAGCCAAATTGGCTTTGGTTATCGATAAGTGGTTTTGTTAAAATAAGTGGCAAAATAGAAAGAACTTTGCTTTGTTGGGTGGCATCAGTGGAGGAGAAACACCATGATTTGATTTTATAGAAATTTGAAAGAGATGGCTTTCCAAGACTACCTTTGGATAAAACTAGTACATAAAGATATTGAATTTTAGCTTCGTTATCAATATCATTGATACCAGAGAGGAGTGGAAGGTTTGCTTGTATTCTTTCTTTTGGTAAATGATGTAATGATTCACTTGCAATGTTTAATAATTTAATATTTTCGCTTGAAAGAAGTTCATTCTCGTAATTATATGGACTTGGTAAAAGTTTAATATTAATAACTATAAATCTAAATACTATTTCTTTGGTTTCGTTTGACATTGGTTCTTTTGATGGTTTAATATTAAAGTTGTATTCGTCTTCATCTTGATCACTACTATCATTTGTATTGCTATTAAAGGATCTGCTAAGGATTTTCCATAATAAAAATAAATTGGTTGGTGGGTAGTCTTTATAGATTTTGAAGGTTTGGTTTGAAATATTTAATAAAATATCGTCAAAGATAGAGTTGATACGTGTTGGGGTCAATTGATTTAAAACTCTTGGTAAAACTTTTAAAAGCTTTTTTTGAATAGATGTGTTACTGTTCTTGAACTGAGATACACTTAACCATTCAGAAACTACAATCGATAAACTTGAAAGAGTTATATTTTCAGCTGCAAATTCGATACATTGCTTTTTGACTTTGATGTTTTCGGTTTGATTGTACACTCTTTTAATAACTGAGCCCCAGTTAACTAATGGCATTTTAGCCCCATCAGCTTTTGAGAACACTCTAATGCAGCACTCTATGGTTTCTTCACTAGATTTATTTGGTAATGAAGAGGATGATACTAAATAGTTGAAGATACTTTTTATGAATAATTCGTTTGGTAAATGGTCATAGTTTTCTGGTTCTTGTGAAACTGTTGATGATGCAGACATTGATTTTTTACCAATTGGAAGTGTAATTGAACCTAAACAAATTGCGGTATATCTAATTGTTTTTGAGTCGGTATTTGCGGATTCAAAGAGTTGGGTCATTGCATCTATTATTTCATCCAAGAGTTGTTTAAAGTCTTTTCTACTTGATGGTTGGGAGTTTATGAAATCTAAAACGCTGCCTTCTAATGTTGAATCTAAACATGATGTAGATTGTGATAAAATTGGTGAACCTAAAAGAATTGATGTTGAAAGTACAGAGTTAATCTTTTCCAATGATGAGGAGTTGCTATTTTCTGAAATAACTGTTTTGTTTGCCATTAAAATGGATTGTATGAATTGTAAATCTAATTCGGTATAGCCTTGTCTAAAAAGAGTTTGAATTAAATTGTTAAAAGCAATACATTGATAAATTGAACTCTTGTTACCAATATTTTGGTAGAATGGAACAACTTTTGATTTGATTTCAGCAGCTGGTAAAAGGTTTAATTTGAAACAACTTCCGACAATAGAAGAGTGCGAGATGAGAAGAAGACCATAGGAAAGTGGACAATCATTAATAAATTGTTGGTTGTGTAATAAGTTCTTTTCAATAGTTTCATTAATCTTTAAAAGATTATCAGTCATTGAAAGCTCTTCAAATGAGCTACTACAGTAACCAATTGCAAAGCATAATCCACTAATTGCCATAGATTCATTAATATTTGTTGATTTTGGGTTACCAAATTGTTCAATAAATGCATTGTACAATATTAAATTAATTCTCTTCTTTTCGAGTTGGGTAGCTAACAATTGATTGGAGCAAATACCTAAAGCCAAATAACAATTGAATTTAACATTTGCATCTACATTGCTTTCGCTTGAGGTTGCTGAGAATTCTAAAGATGAGATTGCATCTTTAACTAGAGTACTATCGGCCAAAAGACATGGAGCCAATATTCCCAAACCTAAATAAGATGCACCTACAACAATATCAGCGTTACCAGAGAATATAGTTTTAGATTCAGTTACCCATTTTAAGAGTTGGTTAAATACAGACTCCATTTTAGAATAACAGACTCTTGAAAGATTTCTAGACATCATGACCAAAGCAAAGATTGAATTTTCAGCTTGAACACTTGATGGGTTTCCTGTGATGGTTTCTAAAAGTTGCTCTTGAATTTCGTCAAATACTTTTTCGTGGGTTTCTTTTGCAGTTAATTTGGTTCCGCTTGGTAAAGATTGTCTCATAATATCGTTCTTTTCGTATGCATTGAAGCATTCATTCATGAATCTACCCCATGCGCCCAATGACATAACCTTGGTAAGTAAATCTCTAGAGTTATCAAGAAACTCGATAGAGTCATTTAATAAACCTTTGTTGAATTTAAAGTTCATTAAAATTTCTTTCTTTGTTTCCTTCTTCGGTTCACTTGATGCGTCTTTATTTGAATCACTGCTAAACCAGAGTAAACCTAAAATAATACCAGATTTAATACCAGTTCTTGATTCTTCATCTAATTCGTCCTCTAATAAGCTCATAATCTTTAAGAGTTTATTGTTGTTATTATTAAATATTGAAACTGATTTGGTTTGTTTAATATTTTGATGAGCTGTTTTTAATGATCTCTTTTCTTTAAGTTCGTTTTCTAATAATGAATCTAAAAGCAAAGTAAAGTTTGGATCTATTGGAGTGTTTTTTGGTAAATTGCCTAATCTCTCTAAAAGTGCTGGTATTTTTGATTGGATCTTTTCTAAAAGCTCTTGGTTCTCTAAAGCTTGAATATACTTTGCCAATACATAATATGCCTTTGAAGAAACATTACTATCTTGATGACTTGATAAATTCCAAACTCTTTTAATAATATCGGTGATGACATCGATAGTTTTTTGTTCCAGCGAAGCTTGACCATTAAAATCGTTAATACCATTTGAAAAGAACTCTAAAAGGCTAACCAACACGATTGGTGAACGTCTATCGTTTTCAAAGCCTTCTTCATGGCCCAAGTTCTTTTTAATTACATTCCAGGCACTTGTAAAGCTAATGATTTCATATTTGCATAGTGAACTTAATGCCTCACAAGATAGAGATAAAATGGATGGATTACTTTCTTTACATAAAAATTGTGAAAGTGGTTGGATTAATTCTTGACCTTGATCGGGATCAAACTCACATATATCTTTAATGGTTTGGGCAGTTGATAATTTATCTTCAAATAGTTGATCAAATTTATTTGTTTCTTCTTCTTTTTGTTGTTGAACCTGTTGAATAACTGAATAGATTAACTCTTCTATTTTTGGGAAAACTAATGAATTTGATTTCCAAAGCTTACAATAAATTCTTAAAATGAACGATGGAAGAATTGAAGATTCTTTTTTCTTTTGTTGATCCAAGTTTGATAAAATTTTTAATACTGAGGCAAAACAATCTTTATTTTTTGCTAATTCTGGTAATGTTTCAAAAAGCTCTAAAATGACTTCAGACTTTTCTTCTCTTTGAATTGCATAAAAGAACAAAGGTATAATTGAAATGGATTCAATTGATTGTCTAGGAATAACTGGTAATAGATGAATGGCCTCAATACGGATCTCTGATGCTAACTGATCTTGTTGATTGTGTTTAAATAATAAAAATGGTGATAAAAAGTAAATTAAAAATTCGTTTGAAAAGTCAACACTATTATTTAATTTTTGTTGTTGTGGTTGTGGTTGTTGTTGCTGTGATGATTGTTTTTTTTGATTTTTCTTTTCTAACTTTTCTTTTTCGTGAAGATTATCATGATTTAATTTTATATTTGAATTTAAAATATTTAACCAAGTTGGTAAAACACTATAAACTAATTCTCCATTTCTATTTGAGATTAATAAATTCCATGCTAAATTAATTGGAATAAAATTATCTAAAAGGAAAGTATCCAAGCTGATCATTTTATCTGATGATTTATTTAAATTTCTCTCGTCTTCGTCATAGTCATTATCGTCATCTTCTTTATTTGATTGATTTATATATTGTTTATTATCAATTTTTAATGAAATGGTTGAAATTAAAGTTTCAATATCTTTTAATAATTTCTTTAAAACTTCATGTTGTTGTTGCTGTTGTTGACTATTTGATGAATTGAAAGTTGAGATCATTCTGATTAATGGAGAAACTGATAATCTAAGTGATGTGATGATAGAATACTGATTGTTGTCGGTGATTTTGATTGGTAAATAGTCGATAGAGATTTGGAGTAATTCTAAAATTTTTTGTTGAATACTTGTGACTGAGGATGGTAAAAATAGGAGGAGAACTACAATTATTGGTGTATTATAATGTTTTAATCCTGTGTTATAAGATTGGTACCAAACAATACATGGTTCTAGCAATATTAACTCTTGTAAATATACTAATACATTATTTCTAATAGATACTTGATTTGATTCTTTGCTATCGACAAAGATATTTAATAAATAGTATAAAATCGATAAAATGGAGCTTGTGAATTCGTTCTTTGACTCTCTATTATTATTATTGTTATTGTTATTGTTATTATTATTGGAAAATGTTGGTGAATGTGATGAAGGTGGGAATCTTATCAAGTCGATTAAGTCACGAACAAATTGAATTTTTTGACGATATTGTTGTTGAGAAATATTACCATTATTACTATATAAAAATAATAGTGATGATAGAAAACTAAGAATTGGTTGGTATAAATTGGGAGCATCGTGTGCGATTCTAATCAATGTATTATGAAGTAACGATGTTTCCATTGGTAATTCATTTGAATTTAATAATAAATTTGATAAAGATGGTTTGAGGAATTCGAAACGTTGATCTCTAAGTGAAGCTGGAATATTTGAATCTAATAATAATATTTCAATCTCTTCTGATACTGAGCCATAGATTTCTGGTTTTGATACCGAAAATTGTTTGGTTAAAGTGTTCAATGGGAATACTGAATTTCCTTTGATGTTGATCTCTTTAATTATTTTTGACATATATTCAATATCAATTGATAAACCAATTATGGCTTTAACAATTACACCAACCATTGATTTATCAATTGATACAATTGATTCTAATAATTTATTTAATATTATTTCCCTAGCAACTTTTTTAATTTTAACTAAATTTATAATCTATAAATAATTTTAAATAAAATGTTAGTTAAATAAATATATATATATATATATTATTTTGTATAATATTATTAGATTATTTTTATTATTAATATTCATCATCATCATCATTACTATCATAATGATGATATTTTATAAATAGGTGATTTGTTTTAAATTTTAAATTTTTGATTTTAAATTTTAAATTTTAAAATTTAAAATTTAAAATTTAAAAATTTAAAATAAAGATATCTATAAATACTCACACATTCTATTGTTGTTTCAATTACATGCACAAAGGGACTATAGATTAATTGCAAGAATAGATTTAAAGAAGAGTCGAAAATTTGTTGTGATTTTTCATTTAATAATAATTGATGAATTAATAACACTGATTCTCTTTGAATTTGAAAATGATTTGATTCTTCAATTTTTAATTTTATAGATTTAATTTTATTTTCCATTTTGTAAACCAAAACAAAATTATTTATTAAATGATAAATAAAATAAAATATGTATATATAATATGATAATTATTATAATAATAATAAATAAAATTAAATGATTAAACAAGATTTGTAAAATTAAAAAAAAAATAATTTGAAAAAAAAAATAAAAAAAAAATATGAAAAAAATAAAAAAATTTAAAAAAAGTAAATTTTTTTTTATTTTTATATTTTTTTAAAATATATTTTTATGTGGGCAAAGTCACACCATAAACACCATTTTAAATTATGTATATATGCACTTAATATGCAAATTCATATGAATATATGATAAGTTAGTTGTTGTTGTATTTTGTTTTCCTATGTTGTTTTGGTTTAAAGAAAGTTCTAAATTTAGAATTGTTTAAAAAAGAGAAAATCTTTTTTTTAAATTTAATAGATTAAATTTAATTTAGATAATTTATTTATTTAAATTAATCTTTCCTAAATCTAAGCACATCCATAAGTACACACACACACACAACCGATAAATATTGTTATTTGAAAATTTAATAAAATCTCACTCATTTATTCTGCACTCGCCACTACTCTATAAGATAATAAGTGTACATTTTAGTTATTACACAACCATAATAACAATTATAATAATCTATCAACAACAATCCAACACTTTATTTACAATTATATATCTAAATTCTAAAAATAACTCAATTTTAAAAAAAAAAAATAAAAAAAAAATAAAAAAAATAAAAAAAAAAAAAATAAAATTAATTATATCATTAATTTAAATCAACCCATTACTTAATATTTTTATAACAATATTTTAAAATAAAATTAAATAACCCATATATGTATATATAGTATTTTTATGTGTATTATTTAATTTTATTACTTTTATTGGGTAGTGTTTGTTTATCTGTGTGTGTCTTTATTAATAGATTTTTTTATTCACTAAGAATATTCTTAATGAATTTTACATTCCGCAAAATATTAATATAATTTTTTATATTAGGGTTGTTTTATTTCATTAATTAGTAATATTCTTTAATGTAAACACTATATGTTTTTTTTTTAAAAAAAAAGAAAGAAAACTTGGTTTTCAGAGTAATCAGATTTAGATATTAATTCGATTATTATTATTAATATTATAATTATTTTGTTCCTTTTTGAAATAATTAGAGGGAGAAAAAACCGCATTTTATTTGTATTTTTATCTATTTTTGTTTAATTACACCAAAAAAAGAAAAAAAAAAAAAAAAAGTAAAAAAGCATGTAACTAAATAACCACCATAAAAAAACAACCATTATAAATCACATCATTTAATTTACAAAACTTTTTCATATAGAATATATAAATACACAAAAGAAATAAAACACAAATACCCAATACCACCACCACAATAAAAATAAGTATACATATATATATATTATTTTATATATAAACAACAATAAAATTATTTTAACCACACCACATCACACAAACCCCACACACATACACAATACCACCCACCCTAACACATAGACACAGACACAATAAATATAGTTAGATTATCATTTTAAAAATAATATAAAACAAATTCATTTTTTATACAAATGGAAATATAAAATAAAAACAATTATATCATTTTTTTTTTAATATAAATAAAACAAAAATAAACACTAGTGCATAAATAAAATAAAATAAAATAAAATAAAATAAAAGAAAAGAAAAGAAAAGAAAAACACAATTTCTCTCACACGCCATATTTACTTATTTGTATAATTTTAAATTACCATTAATCAAAGAAATAAATAAATTAATTATTATTATTTATTTTATTTATTTTTAATTACTTAATCCTGTTTCTTTTTTTTTTTTTTGTTTAGTATTTATTTCAAACGAAATTTTATTTTTTTCCATTCAAATTTCATTTTATTTATTCAACTTATTTATTTATTTATTTATTTATTAATTTATTTATTCAACTTATTTATTTATTTATTATTTATTTATTTATTATTTATTCAACATATTTATTTATTTATTTATTTATATTATTTATTTATTTATTTATTTAAAACAAAATGTCAATATTATGTAAGTGTTTAAACTAAAAAATTTGTAAAAAATACCCTTTTACTAATTACTTTTTAAAATAGCAAACTTAATTAGATTCCAAAATATAAACAATAGCAATAATAGTAAAATCATATGTAATAATATTAATACAAATTTTGGTTTAAATAAAATAACAACTGATGTCGATCTCGATTATTCCCATTTTGGTGGAATTGGAAATTTAACCAATCACATCCATGCTAGCATCTCCAAAGGTTTATTGCATACCCTCTAAAAAAAAAATAAAAAAAAAATAAAAAAAAAATAAAAAATAAAACCAAAACAAATTATTTATTTAAAAAACCCGCCAAGTTTATAGATTTATAGTATTATTTACAATTTTTTTATTTATATTTTTTTTATATATTTTTATGATGGTAAAATATTTTTTAAATAATAGTTTTTCCATATTGAATAGTTTGGTATTGCTAATGATGGTATTATCACTCTGTCACATTTTATATAATTTATGTTTATGTACTGTTCTAAATTTGAATATATTAATGACCAGATGGACTGTGTTTGTTCTTTAGCTTTATTGATATCGAATCTCTCTCTTTCATTATTGAATAAAAATGTACCAAATCTATTAGAGTAAAGACCTGTTAAAATTTCGAGTAAAAACTTTTCATTAAATTCAAAATAATTTGGAAATTGGCAGGTTATATGGTAAACACATTCGATAAACTGGAGGAAAACAGGGCTTCTTTCATCAGAGTGTTCGACCTGAGATAACCTATCTGAAAACTTGTGACCAAAAGATAACCATTCTTTTTCAATTAGTACTATAAACCCTTCAATAGTTCTGTGATATGGATCCAACAATAACATTGAAATTGAACTTAGCTGAGCTGTACGATCCCATCCATCTGAACAATGAATTAGCACTGATGTTGATGATCTCTGAATACTATTTACAATTCTTATTGATCCTGACATAATAAGTAAAATATGTTCAAACCATTTTGATCCTTCAATACCTGAATACCATCCTGAAAAGCTGTATTTATCTAAAGAAACTATATTGTTATCGATTATATCACTATTAGAACCATTATAACCACTATTATTATTTATACTGAAATAGCTATTGTTACTTGAGGTGAGCATACTATTTAAATCGTCACAGCTTGATGATACTATTATTGATTCATTATTATTATTATTTTCTACTTCAATGTTATTGTTATTGTTATTGTTATTGTTATTGTTATTATTTGATTCTAAATTTACTGTTAAATTGTCTATACTCTCTCTTGATTTTGGTGTATATTCTGGTATACCACCAACTACATCAAAGCAAGTGCTTTTTACTTTTTCAAAAGAGTCCCTCATAACATGAATATTTGCAATATTCAAAAAGTCCAAATCGCAACATGAATATACTGTAGTTGTGTTTTCAAACCCTGCACCCATAGCTTTATTGACATTTGCATTCACCTTGGGTCTGGCGTCTAATAGATTTAAAACTTTTGTACTGTTATATCCAATACTGTTGGTATGTGTGGGTACCATGGTTGTTGTATTATTACCTAAACCTTCTATACTTGAATAATACGATAACCTTTTATTTTGTAAAATATTTGAAGAAGGTGATGATAAAAGTGAGTTTTGTGATTGGGTATGTTGTAATACAGGTTGGGACTGCTGTGTATTAGAATTTGGTGGTGTGGTGGTAATAGTTGGTATTGGGTGTGGTTGTTGCTGTGATTGATTTGGGTTTATTTTATCTGGTGATGCTATTTGCTTTACTAAAAATTCATCATCTATACAACGACTTCTTGTTAAACCTACTAAAGGTTGAGCGCATCTAGTTAAAGTTGTACCATTGGTTGGGTGTCTCCATGACAATACCGGAATACGTCCTTTTGAACGGAATATAAAAACATCTACTAACATTTCATCTGTAACAGCTTCGGGAACAACCAATGTTTGTGGATAACTTTCACATTTTTGATAGTCTACATTGATCTTTGTTATTCTCCAACCACTGTTTGGTAAGGTTATACCTAAACGTTTATACTCTCTTTCTGCGTTATATATATTCCATCCATTGATAGGTTCACCCTGTTCATTTGTAAACACTTCTTTGTTATAGTATGCAAATAATTTGGTTTGAAGACCTGGAAAGCATTGGTCTTTTAGGGTTCTATATAACTTTTTTCTTCCTACATCTTTAGATTTAAATAAAAACCTGACATGTTTAATATCTTTACATATGATATCTAAATAGCAATAAGAGTTTGATTTACTTGATGATACTTTTTCAACTTTAATAATAGACCCTAAATGAACTTTATATTCTTTATTCTTTAATAAAATTAAATATTATTAGTATAAATAATCAATATGGTTTTATATATATATATTCACTTACTGTATCTCTTGATAAAAATATTAATTGAAAATTTGTTAAATAAACATCTCCTATAACAAATTTACCTGGATTTAAGAAATCAGTTAAAAGAATAACGCTATCAATTTTTAAAACCAATAATTCGCCTGGTAAGGTTGTAAGTTTTTTATTTGTACTACTAATTTGTGAATTATTTGTTTGTGAACACGCTGAAAATCTAACCTTTAAACAAATACCCTCTTCTTCATTAACATTATCTATAATTTTTGGGAATAAATAAATTAAATCCTATAATAAACATATATACATATAATCATTAGTAAAAATGTATGAAGGTAATTTTAAATAAATTCTATCAACACTTACATTTTTTTTTATATTATAATATTCAATTGGATTATTATCGATTAGCCACAGCTTTGGTAAGTGATTTAATAATAACTTAAAACTATTACTGATTTTTATATTAAAAGTATTATTTAACCAATTTGTAATTTTATATATAGTTTCTAATACGGTTGATTTAATTGGTATTTCTAATTTTAATAATTTATTAATATCATTATTATTATAATTGATATTACTATTATTATAAATAATTGGTAAATTATGTAATGATAATATTAAAATTTCTTTTTTTTTAAATTCTATAATATTAATATTTCCACCCATTGAATAACTTGATAAGATATTATTATCATTCATTAATATTGAAGGTGTTGATGAAGTGTAGCTATAACTATTTACATTGGTATTTGGTAATAATGAGTATAACCCATAGTAATCAATATCCTCTTGACTAATCTGTGCTAAAATATCCATTTTGGTTTGAATTAATTTAGCTGCATCTTTTACCAACATATTTCTATCTACCTGAAGTGTTTTAGATTTCATTTGTTCTGGTAATACAATCTTTAATAGTTGTATTTGATTAACATCCCTACTTGTTTTCTTTTTACATTCAACTAAATCCTATTAGAATTACAAGTGTTAGAATACCTTGCTATTATTACAATGATGAGATTAAATTATAACTAAAAATATATATATGTATATTTACTTGATCGTATAACTCGTATAAAAATAATGGTTTTGATTCGTCTAACCACATACCATAATCTACTCTTATATTTGGTACTAAATATAGACCATGATTGTCAAAATTGATTCTCTTTTTTTTTAAAATTTGGTGTAATAACTCTTTAACTGTACTATCTCTATCTGCTTTAATATTAATGATTGCTGAAATTTCTGGAATAGATATTCTTAACACTATAATTTCGTTTATTGAATTTATTGATAATGAATCTAATCTTTGTTTTAATGGTGTAAATTGATTTTTAAATGCTTTTTTAAATTTAATATTAATATTAATATTAACTTTTAAATTAACTCTATTTAATTAATTAAATGAATATTCATCTTACTTTTACTTGAAGACACCCATCCTGGTTTTTGTAAGTGATTTGCTAAGCTATTATTACAATCATCTTCGTTATTATTATTATTGTTATTATTATTACTACTACTACTACTATTATTATTATTATTATAACTCCTCATATCATCGTTAGTTATCATTTTAAAAAAACAAATAATAACTCTGATGTATAGGGTAAAATATGAAAGTATGCAATATTTTTTTTTTTTTGTTGTGTGTTAAAAAAAAATGAAAAATTTTAAAAAATAAATTAAAAATAAATTTTAATTTAAAATTCTAATAATTAAATGTTTTAACGGTGTGAATGATATATCATTCATTTATAAATAGTTAAATATAAAAAAAAAAGTTATTTATAAATTACAATATTATTTTGATTTATTAATGTGGAGTGTCAGTTACCAAAATGACAGGGGTAAAAAAAAAAAAAAATAAAAAAAAATTTAAAAAATAATAAAAAAAAAAAAAATATCTAATTTTTTTTTAAAAGCATAAAAACATTGCTAAATAAAAAAAATGAAAAAAATAAAAATAATGATAAAATCTTTATTTTTTAATTTTTATATTTAATGATTAATCTAGATTAAATATTGTGTAACCTTACTTTTTTTTAAATTTTTTTTTATTATTTTTTATTTATTATATTTGTTACAAAATATTTTTTATTTTGAGGGAAAAACTATTAAGTTTAAAACATAAACCAGTCATCAACTACACAGTTATGAACATTGAAACCTTTCATCTTTGTTTTAGAAATACTGATTTAATATATTGCATTGATTGAAGGAGAGAAAATTGTTTTTTGTTGGCCAACACAGTTTCTAATGGAGCCATTTAAAAAACCTATGAAAATGATCTGGAACCTGGGGCATTAATTTTTTATAAAGATTATTATTGTGAAGTTTTCAAGAAATCTTTTTGAATACTTCTTTATATCTTAACTTCAAATTTTATTGCAAAAAAACATTCACCCTAAATACTTTTTTCACACTAAAAACACTTTTTTTATATGTATAATTATAATTTTCAATATTTTTATTACTATATAAAAATTGTTATTTTTATATTGAGCTTTATTATTTGAGAACTGATTTAAAAAAAAAAAAACTAATATTGATTCGCTTTATACAAATAATACAATACAAATCCCACTATACCCAGCCTCATATTCCACAAATGCAACAAAATATAATGAAGGTATTGTTGAAATTACTGGTACACAACTTTTATCACCACCAGACCAGAACGATCTTAAAATTACAATTTTCGGCAAGTTATGTAACTTTGTTCCACCTAGCAATTTAACCTATATTAAATGTAGATTACCAAAAGGAGTTGATAATAATCAAAATACAATTCAAGTGTGTGTAAATAATATTTGCAGTATAAATAACCTTATTTATGAATATACACAACCAAATATTTCCAGTGTGGCACAAAATGGTTCCATCTTTATAATAATAGGTAAATACCACGGTAGTTATCATGATAACTCTACACAAGTTGTTGTAACTTATGATGGTAATATAAAACAAACAATATTACCATTATCTATACAAAGTGATGAAACTGAATCAGTATTCAAGATTCCATTCTTTTGTGGAAGTGCTATTGTTCAATTAGTTGTAAATGGTTTAAAATCAAACGAATATACTATTAATAATAAAAATAAAACAAAAACTATTGCATTAGCAACTACATTATCAATTGGATTTACTTTACTTTATGCTGGCAGTTTATATGGTGTTTGGAGACTCCATCAAAACAAAATTAAAAAAACAAAAAACAAAAAAAACTAAAAAAAAAAGAATAAGAAATAATGCACAAAAAAAAATAATAAAATATGTTTTATTAAAAAAAAAATATAATAATAAATTTAAAATTTTATAACTTTTATTTTAAAATGAATTTAATCTTATGAAAAAACAGACAAAAGAAATAAAATTCAAATACAATAAAAATAATTTTGAATATATTATATTATGTTTTAGAAATAAATAAAATGATTATTTATGATCTTTTTATTTTTTTATTTTTATTTTTTTTATTGCTATCACTGTTGCTATCTTCTTCACTACTGCTGCTACTGCTGCTACTGTCACTATCACTATCACTATCTTTTTTATTTGATTTTATTTTTTTATCTTCTTTTTCTTCGTCACTGTCGCTGTCGCTATCGTTATATTTATCAAAATCACTATCATCGCTATCATTATATTTTTTATTTTTTGTTAATTTATCATATTTCTTTAATAACTTTTCCTCTTCCGAAAATTCTTTTTTCTTTGATATTTCTTTAATTTTTCTTTTTGATAATTGAAATTCGAAACTTGTTCCAAATTTTTCATTACATTGTTTTAAGAATGGAACAGATAGTGCTTGATCTTGATCTTTTAAGAAATCGACAAAAGCTGAAATTAAATAACCATCACTTGTTGTGAGGAAACTGAAGGCTTTTGGATCTTGTACTTTATCAGTTCTACCAGCACGACCTACTCTATGACAATATTGTTCGAGATTTCTTGGGAAATCATAATTGATAACATAATGAATATCATCAATGTGAATTCCACGACCAACGATATCAGTTGAAAGCAATAAGGTAGTTCTTGAACTTGAAAATTTATTGATTAATTTTTCTCTTTTTTCTTGATCAATGTTACCGAAAATTGTATCATGTTTAATATTTGATTTTAAAAGCATAATTGAAATTCTTTTTAACTCTTTGATCTTATTGAAAAAGATGATTGTTTTTTTGTTGCTTTTGATTTCTTTGTTTTCTGTTAAAAGCTTGACTAAAGCACGTGGTCTTTTGTGGTGAGCCATTAATTGACATGTTTGTTCTATATGATTGAGTTTTGGTAATTCTGATGAACCTATTCTTAAACGAATCGATGGATCTTTAATCCAATCTTTAGCAACCTCTTTCATAGATTCTGGGAAAGTAGCAGAGAGTAAAATATTTTGAGAATCTGGTCTAATTTGAGTACGGAGTTGTTTTAATTGTGGTAATAAACCTTTTGAAAGCATTTTATCAGCCTCATCCAAAACCAACATTGTAATAGTTGAAAGATTAACATGTCCCAAATCGATCATTTCGATTAAACGACCAGGTGTTGAAATTAAAATTTGTGGTTTTTCACGTTGAAGTTGTTCGATTTGAAGTGGTTTGGGTATACCACCGTAAATTGCTAATGCCTTGATACCAAACAACTGATTGATTAATTTAAAATTATTAAAAACTTGTAAACCTAATTCTCTAGTTGGTACCAATACTAAAACCAATAAATCTGAATTCTTTTGCTTTTTCTCTTGATATGGATCTTTAAATTGTTGTTTCTGTTGTTGAGATCTATTCATTCTTGCTAAACAATGTGGAATCATTGGTGCTAAATAACCTAATGTTTTACCTGACCCTGGCAAACTTGTACCAATCATATCATTACCGCATAATATTGCAGGCCATGCATATTTTTGAAATGTTGTTGGTTCTTTAAATTCAGTTTTCTTAAAAAACAATTTTAATTGACCTGGTAAAAAACTATTATCACCTGTAGTTGCAATTGGTATTTTAATATTTTTTGGAAAATATTCAATTTTATCGCTATTATTTTTATTATTATTATTGTTGTTTTCATTATCTTGATCATTTGATTCTTCTTCTATAATAAATTCTGTAGTTTCTTTAATATATTCTATTTCATTATTATTATTATTATTATTTGGTTGTTGTAGATTTGTTAAAAATTGTTTTTTGAATGGTAATAAATTTGAAAAATCGATTGGTTTTAAATTGACATTAAAATCTTCAATTGGTGCAGTTTCTTCCTCTTCTTTATTATGTTGTTGATGATGATTCTTTGAATTGTTGTCATTAAACTTTACTAGATTTGAATCCTGTCTCTGTTTTCTTAACTCTTGCTTTTTCTTGTATGCTAAATCATCTTGTTCAAACAAAACCTTTTTACTTAATCCTTCACCATCATCGTCTTCATTAAATATTTTATAATCATTTTCATTTTCTAATTCATTATTATAGTTTTTATTTCTTTTATTATTATTATTATAATTATTATTATAGTTATTTTTATTATTTTCTTTATTTAATTTTTCTCTACTAAATTTACTTTGTTTAAACATTATTAATTATAATAATACTATTTATTAGGTATAAACTATACTATTATTAATGATTATTTGAATACATATAAATAAAATTAATTAATGTTTTTTTTTTGCATAAAATAAAAATAAAAAAAACGAAAAAAAAAAAAATTAAAAAAAAAAATAAAAATAAAATTTTTTTAAAAACTACTTTTAGTTTTAATTTTAATAAATATAACTTCTTATAAATATGATTCTTTATTCTTTTTTTACATAAACTCAAACCAATTTAGTAATTCCAAAATAATAAAAAATTTTCCTTTTTTTTAAATATTTTTTTTAAAATAAATTAAAAATGATCATTTAAAAAATTATATCAAATAAAATTTCCAATCATAAATAAAATTTATAGAGATTTAAAATAATATTAACATAAACAAAACCAAATTGGTGTTATGGTAAGTTGATTATAATTATTACAATGAAAAAATGAAAATATCTAAAAAAAAAAAATTGATTTTTTTTTTTTTTTTTTTTTTAGTTTTTTTAAAATTTTTTTTTTTTGGGAAATTTTTTTTTTTTTTTTTTTTTCTTTTTCAAAAAATAATATAATTTTAACTTTAAAAAAAAAAAGATGTTACAATATATTTTTTGGTTCTTTTTTGTAATTGGTTTTTTAACTATTTTTACATACATTACACCAATTATTATAGCTTCATTCAAATTTGAAGATCAAAACTTAAAGAACAAATATAACGCTAAATGGGCATTAGTCAGTGGTGCTAGTAGTGGTATTGGTAAAGCCGTTGCTACTAAATTAGCTGCTCAAGGTTTAAATGTTGTTTTAGTTGCTCTTGATGACGAAACCTTACAAGGTACCTACGAAGGTTTAAAGAAACAATTCCCAAAAGTTGAATTCCGTAAAGTTGGTTGCAATTTAGGTAGAGCTGATCACGAATATGATTACTTACCAATTATTCAAAAAGCCACCGAAGATATCGATGTTCAAATTTTAGTAAACAATGCTGGTTATATTCAATTAAGTGCCTTCTTCAGATCAACCTTACAAAGACAATTAACCAATTTAGAATGTAACATGATGTCACACGTCAAACTTACTCATCACTTTTTAAGCAAGATGGTCGAAAAAGGATTAAAAGGTTGCATTACTTTCACTTCATCACAATCAGCTTTCTTCCCAGCTCCATCATGCAGTAGTTACGGTGGTGGTAAAGCTTTCCTCCAAAACTTTGCTGCTTCATTAGCCATCGAATGTTACACCTATGGTATCGATGTTTTCTGTTTAATGTCTGGTCCAATTCAAACCAACTTTTATGACAATCAACCAAAACTTTCATTCTTTAAGTTCTTCCATGCTATCTCTGATACCCCAGATTCAGCTGCCGATCTTATGATTCGTGGTGTTGGTAGAATCACCTGGAGAGATTCATCACTCTTTACTGTCGTCTCACGTATTGTCACCAAAGTTCTCGATATGAATCTTTTAATTCAAGGTATTGCTAGAGGTCAATCATTATCATCCGATTTCAAAAATCATCCAGAACTTAGATAAATAAAACAAATAAAAAAAAAATAAAATAAATTTATTTATTTAAAATTTAAAAACAAATTTTTTATTTTTTATTTTTAGTTTTTAAAAAAATAATTACTATAAATATTTATAGTAATTTTATAAAATGTAATTAAATAAAAAAACAATACACACAATTTTATTTTTTTAGTTTTTTTTAATTTTTTTTTATTTTGTTTATTTTATTTTTATAAAATGTAATTTATTTTCTGCCTTTTCCACCTTTGCCTTTACCGCCGCCGCCGCCACCTTTTCCTTTGCCACCACCTTTTCCTTTAGCACCTGGTTTACCTCTTGATTTATTTACCTTCATCTTTCTTTCTTTTTCATCACGGCCTCTCATAATAGAACGTTTATCTTTAATTTCATCTCTAAATGGTTTCTTCTTGTCATTCTTTTCGCTTTCTTGTTTGGTTTTTTGTTTATCTTGACCTCTCCATTTCATAGGAACAAAATCTTTTTTATGTGGTTGATATTTTTCATTTTCATCTTCACCAACTTTTTGAATTCTTGAACGAGTTTTCTTTTTCCATTCTTCATAACCTTTATGATTCTTTTTGGCTTCTACTAAAACACCAGCTTCATTACGTACAAGTTTTTTAGCGTTCTTTCTATCTTGTTCAGCAGATGAGCTGACGAATTTACCTTTTCTTTTATCCCATACCATTGATTTCTTTTGTTTTCTTTCACCATCTGGATTAAGATTAACTTCGACATCTTTGGTAAATCTATTTGTAATTGATAAAGCTCTTTCCTCGTGTAAGTTTTCTGGTGTGTTTGAAATAAAGAAATTTAAATCTCTTGATGATGATCTAGTTTTCTTTTTACTGTTGGTTGGTTTATTGGTGGTAACTGATTCTTCAATATTAACATTATATTTATTATTGTTATCATCTTCGTCCTCTTCTTGATCCATTTCGTCCTCTTCTTCGTCCTCTTCTTGAATTGGTTTTTTAACATTATGATTTATTTTATTTTCATTCTTTAACATGTCTTCAGTAATATCATCACCGTCAATATCCTTTCTTTTGCTGTGCTTCTTATTATAATCAAACTCTTGATTATCTGGACCTAAATTAGTTTCGCTGGTTTCTAATAATACTTTCTTTTGTTGTGATTCGATTGCTACATTATGCATCTTTCTCTTTTCCTTCATAACTGCAACTTGAGTGTTGTTCTTTCTTGCATCCATTTCTAAAACAGTTTGTGGTGGTCTAAATGATTTTAATTGTTGAATGAAATCCATTTTAATATTATCGTTATCTGAAATTTTGCCTGAAAGGATTGGGTGGAAACCAGTCTTGTTCAATGCTTTAGCACGATTATTTGATTCATGGGAGGCACCTGGACGCATTGAAATATATTTTTTATGGGCATTTTCTATAGTTCTTGTAAGTGATAAAAGCTCTACACACTCTTTCTTTTGAATATTAACATACTCGGTTTCGGCATCAATGAGATATTGTGGAATGGTACCATAGAATGAATATTTTGGATCCTCGACAGTTTGACCTTCAAATTCGAATTTATTTAAAAACTTTCTACCTAAATATAAATGTAAATCTATCATGTATGGTACTTCATCTGGTGATACTAACGAATATGCGATACCTTTCTTTCCAGCTCTAGCAACACGACCTACACGATGAACGAAGATCTTTTCTTTTGGTGGGAAATCGAAATTAATTACATTATCTAATAATGGAATATCTGTAATAAAATGAAAAAGTAAATAAATATTAATAAAAATTTTATTTAAATAAAAAAATTAAAATTAAAATTAAACTTACCAATACCACGAGCAGCCAAATCAGTTACAATTAAGATTGAAACTTGGTTGGTACGGAATTTTGCTAAATTGATTTTTCTTGCAACTGGATCTAAATAACCATGAATATAAGTTGATGTGATACCAGTACGTTCTAAAAGTATATGAATAAATTCTACATGATATTTTGTGGCTGTGAAAATAATAGTTGGTGATTTTTTGGTTCTATCTGCAAAAATAATATCCTTTAATAAATATAAGAGGACACCAAGCTTTTCATCGTGACGGACTGTAAAGAAAGAAAGAGCTAAATTTTCACTAATCTTTGTATCGGTATCTAAACGGACTAATTTTGGATTGTTTAAACCGGCTCTAACAAACTCAACCAATAATGATGGTAAAGTGGCTGAAAAGAGTAAGGTTTGACGATTTTCGGAAAGCTTACTAAGAATTTCGGTTAATTGTTCGTTGAAACCCATTTCAAATAAACGATCAGCTTCATCGAATACTATATATTTGACCTTTGAAAGACTCATACCAGTTTCTTGAAGATGATGCATAAGACGACCTGGTGTGGCTATAATAATATCTGGATTACGTGCTAAATCATCGTATTGCTCTTCCATTGAGTCACCACCAACAATTAAAATGGTACGGAGATTGGTACCTTGTGTAAAATCTTTAACTACTTTGAATGTTTGAATTGCAAGTTCACGAGTTGGAGATAAAATAACTGATCTAACACCAACTACTGTACTATGCTCTTGTAACATTTGAACCATTGGAATAACGAATGCACCAGTTTTACCTGAACCAGTTCTAGCCATACCAACAACATCATTTCCTTCTAAAATCAATGGAATGGTTCTTCTTTGAATTGGTGTTGGTACATTGAAGCCCTTCTTTAAAATAGATCTTAATAATAATTTATTTAAACCCATCGATTGGAAACCACCTGATTTCTTTTTCTTTTTACCACCCTCCTCTTCTTCATCTTTCTCTTGAATTTCATCCATTGGGAAACTGAAATCTTCTTTCTTTTCTTTTGGTGATATTTCTTTTTTATCCTTTGATTTCTTTGATTTCTTTACCTCCTCTTCACCCTCTTCCTCTTCATTTTCATTGTCTTCCTGTTTACTATAAAACTCTTCATCTTCGGAATTAAATTGTTCAAATTCGTTTTCGTTTATGACATTATCGTTAAAATCTAATATATCTAAATCTTCACCATTGAACTCATCAATCATATCGTTGAATAATGATGATTCGTAATTTTCATTTAAATTGATTTTATCATATTTTGATATTGATTTAGAATTGTCATTGAAAATATCTTGGTCAAAAAATGATTCATCCTCTCTAAAGTGATTGGCTGGTTCTTTTAATTTATCTTTAATTACAATTGTATTTTGACGCTTTTCTAATTTCTTTTTCTTTTCTTCTAACTTCTTTTCTTTTAAATTCTTTTGTAAAACATCATTGTCTATTATTTTATTTTGCCCTGTTTTTTTTACTTGTTGTTTCTTTTTATTTAAATAATCATTTTGAGATTCATTACTTTTATTTAATTTATTTTTATTTTTAATTTTAATATTATTTGGTTTAGCCATATTTATATAATTATATAAAAATAAATAATAATGATAATAAAATAAAAAAATAAGAAAAAAAAAAAAAATTATTTTTTCGTTTTTTTATTTTTAAAAATTTTTTTTAAATTTAATTTTTTTTTATTTTTTTTTATTTTTTTTTTTATAGTTTATTTAATCGATTATTTTTTAATTTAATAAAAAAAAAAATTTATTTAAGTAAATCTTAAACTAAATTTGGGCCCTACTATTAAATAAATATTTAAATTTTAATGACAAAATAATGACTAATATTAAATCATAGTTACATTTTAATGATAGCAATTACGATAAAAAAAAATTAATTCAACGAAAAATAAAAAAAAGAGGAAACATTAATTTACTTTTTTTGAAATAAATATAATTAATAATGGAAACATTAATTTCCTTCCTCAAAATCAATAGATAATAAATTAACAAATAATTAAATTTTTTTTCTTTTCTCATAAAATTCAAAATCAGTTTAATATTTTTTCCCACCCAAGAGTTCAAATTTCCAAATTTTTGGAAGAGTATTATTTTTTTTTAGTTTTTTTTTAATATTATAAACAAAATGGTAAATAACAATAACAATAATATAGATGATGGTATTAAAATTTCATTCAAATTATTTGGATGGACTCTTTTTAATAACTTCAAAAAACCAACTGAAACACCAAAAGTAGAAAACAGAGTTGCCACCACCAAAGATACTCCAACAGGTTTCTTTTTCAAATGGAGTTTATTTGATATAATCAAATTAAAAATTTCAAGAAAAGGTCAAGATGAATAAGGCTTTTGTGTTTTTTAAAGAAAAAAAACCTAAACAAGAATCATAATAAAAAGTTTTAAAAAACAAAAAGATAGAGTATTTTTATTTTAATTTTTATTAATTTGGTTTATTAAAATATTGATTGGTCTAATTGTGCTTGGATCTTTTTTATCAGTTAATGTATGGTGTGGTTTTTCATAATCTTTATATGTTCCATCGGTTAGTTTAATTGTTTCTGTGGTTATTTTGATGGTGAATTTTGATATTTTTGATTCCTAACAACTTCATAGCAATACCAAGACTCTTCAGCACTTTCAAAAGATATGGATGGTTACACCTTTTACTTATTTTTTATACAAATATTTTAACAGACAGCTTGACCCTTTGAGCTGCATAATCACCACCAGTTGGTTCAGATGAAACACCACTAGATGAAACATATTCTAAGGAGCTGTCACTGGGGCAACAAAATCTGCACTACTACTTGATGTAGCATATTCTAATTCTACATTTTTGAATAATAAATTAAAAAAAAAATTAAATGAATAGTTTGATATATTAAAAATAGTATTGTGGAAAAAACTAAGGATACTAATAAAAAGATTATAGTATTTAAGATAAAGCCTAATTCTTTATCCATTTTGATTATATAAATATATATATGGTTATATGTCATAAAAATTTATTAAAAAAAAAAAATTAAAAAAAAATATTTATTAAAAAAAATAAAAATAAAAAAAAATATCAGATAATTAATTAGCTTTCATTATACTTATTTTTATTATTATAAAAGTGATATAACTATCATTTATAAGTTATTATTTATGATAATAATTTTTAAAACATTAAAAAATAGCTTTTTTTAAATTAATAATAAAATTTTACTTTTTTTAATCTTTTCACCCATTTTCTTCTGTACTTCACTTATTTTATATCAGTTCATAGTTTAGTAATACAATCACACATTTTCACCAGTGATTACAAAAGGAAATGTTCCCAAACTCTACTAACTCGAGGAAAGATATAGAAAAACCAGAAAAACAGAACAAGCTATTATACAAATCACCTATCAAATAAAGAAGATTCACAGAGATTTAATATGACATAAAATACAAAAGCAAATGAAAAGAAAACTATCACACTCAAAGTGTATTTGCTGAGATTCAGCGAGAAGTAGAACTTGGACATTTTCAAATAAAAAAAATAACCAAAACGAGAAAAAATATATAAATAAATAATCATCATAAAAATATGTCGTGTTTTTTTTCAGTGATATTATTATATATTTATAGAAATGTAATATCAATTAATATAAAAGTTTATTATTTTATATATAATTTTTTTTGGATATTATTAAATAAATAGGATGATTTAAAGTGATGGTTATACAACAAAAGTTTTATTAAATAAACAATTTTATTTATAAAATGAAAATAAAAATTAAAATTAAAATAAATAAAAATTAAATTATAAAAATAAAAAAGAAATTCTCAACATGATTTTAAAGTTATTTTCAATGATAGAACACAAATAGTTTAGATAAGGAAAAGGGTAAACTTCAACTTTCGTAAATATTGTTCATATTGTGAAACAGTCCAATGGTTTTAGCTTATCAAATATATTTAAAATATGACCCCCAAAGAATTTAGTATCTGATAGAGGTTCAAAGTTCATAAATGAAGTCGTCGTTTCAATAAACAAATTCTTTAAAGTAACTCCAACTTTTGCTTGCCATTCTTAAGCATATGGTTTAACTGAAAAGTTTAATTCAACTTAATTCACAAGTACCTAGATTTTATTGTAAAGAAGACAACTTCTCATATCTTTAATTAAATCAAAATAAAGAATAAATCAAGCTAACAACACAATTTAATAATGTAGATGGTGTCTTAATAGCTAAAAGTGAATATTAGAATATGATCTACCCGAAATCTTTTCAGTATTAGTTTCTGAAGCATCATCAAAACAGGATTTTAGCAATCAATCAAATAATTCAAAAAATACAATCAAATATATATTTAAATATCGAATTAAATAAATTTAATAATAGATCACAATATTTAAATACCAATTAGTCATCTATATAAAAAAAATAATAGTATTAACTCAATAAATCAATAATCAGTCAGTTATTAGAAGCCTTAAAGAAAGCTAATATTAAAACATTTTATAATAATTAAAAATCAATATAGTGCCAAGCCAAAGGCAGTCCTCATTAAGTTATAACAGTCACACCCACCAAATTCGACCCAATATCATACAATTAATAAAACGCCTCGCATTTTTCAGGACCATCACTGCTGCGGGTGCTGCAAGTTGTGCTGCTACAGGTGGTGAAGGTTGTACAGGTGGTACAGGTTATAATAGCAGGTACAGGTAACTCTTTAGACTGGAAAGATTATATCTCTCTTTATTAGAACTTTTAGAACAATTAGAATTAGAAGGTCTTCAATCTGAAAATCACAATATTAAATAAGAGATTACAATTCTTTAAGATAAATTCAGTTAACAATCTTTCAACACTGGTCATGATACTTCTGTTGGTATATCAAAAGTTTCACTGAGTTCTCGTACTGATAGAGGGGATCCAACAGCATTAGTTTCTAAGCAAACTGATAAATGCGAAGAGAAAACAGAAATCCATTAAAAGTGGTAGCATCATATTCATCAAAATCTAATGTTGGTGCTAATAGTTCACCAATCATCCCATTGAATACTTCAGAAGAAATCAATGGTGATAGAATCAAAGAGACTGAACATGAATTTGAAAGCTATAGAAATGCAAAAGGGACTTTAGCAATGGAATAAGATTTAGAAATCAAACAATTAATAGAAAATTAGAGATTACTGACTCAAAAGGTTCATTTGGAAACAGTTAGAAATACACAATTAAATTTTAAAATTGAAAATATCGAAGAGGAGATAAGACAAAGAATAGAAGAAAAGTTAAATATTTTAAGATAAATAAATAAATAAATAGATAATATAGACTAATCAAGAGAAGCAATCTAAATTAGCAATTAATCATTTAAAATAGCCAATCACCAAATTCTTTAGTTAGTGCCAATGATAACAATGCCATTGGTGTTCGAATTAAACCAAACCAAACATTAAATTCAAAAAATATCTCATCATCAATTTGGAACTCATTATTTAAAAAAAATCACCATTATCAAATAACAACATCTCACCATTGGCACATCCACCACATTTACCTCCATTACCATTTGGAGATATAAATATATATATGCAGTTCTACCAATTTCACTTACCAAACCATCTTCTTGAGTACAGAACTAATAAATTCAGTAAAAAAAAAAAAATAAAATAAATAATTAAAAATACAAAGAAATAAAATAAAAAATTTATATATTATATTATATGTATTTTAATAAATTATTTATTATTTTTTTTTAAAGGAATTTGTAAGGGTGGATAAAATTTTAGGGATATTGTTTTTTACCAATGATGAGATATGACAATTTCTTCACTCCGTTTCACCAATTTTCAAAAATTATTTCTTTGTAAGATACAAATAAAAAAATAAAAAAAAATCCACAAAAAACCCATTTTTTGATCAACCTTAATCCAAATCTACACAATTGATATTATATTATTGAATGATCCTATCCAATTGTATATTCTTGAATGTGTATAATAAATTTTATTAAAAAATAAATTAATTGTTGAATTTTAATAATTAGATGCTAAAAAATCCTTTATATGTTTTAATGCTAAAAAACCCTCGCTATGTTTTGATTATATTTTTATTAAAACTTGATATGTTTTAATGCTAAAAAATCCTCGATAGTTTTAATGCTAAAAAATCCTCGATAGTTTTAATGCTAAAAAATCCTCGATAGTTTTAATGCTAAAAAATCCTTTATATGTTTTAATGCTAAAAAATCCTCGATATGTTTTGATAATACCATTATTTTATTTATTTTATTTATATATATTTTTTATATTTTTTTTATACTATTAGCCACTCTTTGTAAAGAGTGTTTCCAGCTCTACCACGTGGAGGTTAGTATATTAGAGCCGGATGGTTAATTATTTACACCTTCAGGCAGTATAAATAATTAAACACCATATTTGTGGTTAATTATGTATCCCACCACGCAGAATTCATAATTAACCACCATGTTTGTGGTTAACTATGTATCCCACCACGCAGAATACATAATTAACCACCATATTGATAATTGAT